CTTTCATTAAGCACTGGCCAAATGATAAGTTTATTTCTTCTGATGGCTTAATAGGTTAAAAGAAATGCACCTGCTATATTGTGGAACATTAGGTAACTCAAAGTAGGTTTTTGATTCCTAAAATAAATAACGCAAAATACAATAAAGGGATGTCTCCTACTTGACCCTATAGTTGTCTTACTACTTACTGATTTTCATTTTATTTTATTTTATTTTATTTTATTTTATTTTTTTTGAGACGGAGTTTCGCTCTTGTTACCCAGGCTGGAGTGCAATGGCGCGATCTCGGCTCACTGCAACCTCCGCCTCCTGGGTTCAGGCAATTCTCCTGCCTCAGCCTCCTGAGTAGCTGGGATTACAGGCATGCGCCACCATGCCCAGCTAATTTTTTGTAGTTTTAGTAGAGACGGGGTTTCACCATGTCGACCAGGATGGTCTCGATCTCTTGACCTCGTGATCCACCCGCCTCGGCCTCCCAAAGTGCTGGGATTACAGGCGTGAGCCACCGCGCCCGGCCCTTATTTTATTTTATTTTTGAGGCAGAGTCTCGCTCTGTTGCCAGGCTGGAGTGCAGCGGTGCCATCTTGGCTCACTGCAGCCACTGCCCCCTGGGTTCAAGTGATTCTCCTGCCTCAGCCTCCTGAGTAGCTAGAACTACAGTCATGCGCCACCACAACCAGCTAATTTTTGTATTTTTAGTAGAGATGAGGTTTCACCAGTTACTTAGGATGATCATGATCTCTTGACCTTGTGATCTGCCTGCCTCAGCCTCCCAAAGTGTTGGGATTATAGGCATGAGCCACTGCGCCTGGCCCATTTTATTTTAATTAATTTATTTATTTATTTTCATTTATTTATTTATTTATTCATTTATTTATTTATTTTTAAGACAGAGTCTCACTCTGTCGCCAGGCTGGAGTGCAGTGGCACGATCTTGGCTCACTGCAGCCTCTGCCTCCTGGGTTCTCCTGCCAGGATGGTCTCGATCTCTTGACCTCATGATTCGCCCACCATGGCCTCCCAAAGTGTCAGGATTACAGGCATGAGCCACTGAGCCTGGCCCATTTTATTTTTAAAGTATGAAATAGAACATTTTGAAAACCAATGCTCTATAATATGAACATGTACTACTTTTCATAGTCTCATTTAAAATAGAAGGCCTAATTAGCCAGGCATGGTGGCTCACACCTGTGTAATCCCAGGTACTCAGGAGGCTGAGGTGGGACAATCGCTTGAACCCAGGAGGTGGTGGTTGCAGTGAGCCGAGGTCGCACTACTGCACTCTAGCCTGGGTGGCAGAGCAAGACTGTGTCTCAAACACAAAACAAAACCAAAAGGCAAAAACAAAAAAACAAAACCCAAAACAACAACAACAAAAACCCAAAGCCTTAAAATGTAATTTTTTTTTTTTTTTTTGAGACAGTTTTGCTCTGTCACCCAGGCTGGAGTATAATAGCGCAATCTTGGCTCATTGCAACGTCCACTTCCCAGGTTCAAGTGATTCTCCTGCCTCAGCCTCTCGAGTAGCTGGGATTACAGGCGCTCACTACCACGCCCAGCTAATTTTTTGTATTCTTGGTAGAGATGGGGTTTCACCATGTTGGCCAGGCTGGTCTTGAACTCCTGACTTCAGGTGATCTGCCCACCTCAGCCTCCCAAAGTGCTGGGATTACAGGTGTGAGCCACTGTGCCTGGCCAAAAATACAATTTTGTTGGAAAAGTAACATTTGAAACCTTGTACCAAATGTATTTATTATAAAAATAATATATACTTTTAAGCACTTTTTAAAGTATAGAAGTATTTAAAGTAAAAATGAAAGTCCTCTATTTTCTTATTTTGTTCCCTAGCTAATATAAGTTAGACTTGCAGGAATTTAGGTTTTAAATTTAAAAGTTCTTGGCCAATCAAAAAATCTTTTTAGGCTGGTCATGGTAGCTCATGCCTGTAATCCCAGCCCTTTGGGAGACTGAGGCGGGAGGATCACTTAAGCTCAGGAGTTCAAGACCAGCCTAAGTAACATAGTAAGACCCTGTTTCTACAAGAAAAAAAAGAAAGACCAGTTGTGGTGGCACATGCCTGTGGTCCTGCTATTTGGGAGGCTAAGACAGGAGGATTGCTTGAGCTGGGAAGATTGAGACCAGCAGTGAGTCCTATTCCTGCCACTGCACTCAAACCTGAGAGATAGATCGAGACCCAGGCTCCACTTTTTTTTTTTTTAAAGGTGAAAAGAAGCCAGAAGCAATATTTTTTTTTTGTATATATTTTTCATTGTTGTGGGTTTTTTTTGTTTGTTTATATGATTTACCCATATAAAGTATAGAAATGAGTGGTTTTCAGTATATTTATGGAGTTGAATGTTTTAGGCAGAGTTGAGACATTCTGATTTCTTAGTTCTTGAAATTTCAGTGTTTATTTTTTTCATTATTTTTTGAGACAGAGTCTCACTCTGTTGTCCAGGCTAAAGTTCAGTGGCATGATCTCAACTCACTGCAATCTCTGCCTCCCAGGTTCAAGTGATTCTCCTGCCTCAGCCTCCTGAGTAGCTGGAATTACAGGCACATATTACCATGCCTGGCTAATTTTTGCATTTTTTAGTATAGACGGGGTTTCGCCATGTTGTCCAGGCTGGTCTCAAACTCCTGACCTCAGGTGATCCACCTGCCTTGGCCTCCCAAAATGCTGGGATTACAGGCATGAGCCACTGTACCCGATCTCAATGTTTATTTTTTAGAAGTTTTCATTATGGGGAATTTCAGATATACCCTAAAGTAGAAGAGTATAATGAACCCCCAGTGTCCATTCTTCGTCTTCCCTTCATGGCCAGTCTTCTTCCATCTTTTCCCTCTTTTACTCCCCCAGGGTTATCTTGAAGCAGATTCCAGATATTGTATTATTTCTTTTGTAAATTTTTCAGTCTGTATGTATAAAACATGATTTTTAAAAAATGACCACGATAATGTTCACATTAAAACAATCTAATAATTACTTAATATTAAATAACCAGTGTTCAAATTTCTAATAAATGTAAAAAGTTCAGTTGTGTTTTATAACTTATAGAGGATAATTTTTAACTTGTTAGAGAAAGTTTGATGTCATATTAACTTGTTAGAAAAAAGTTTGATGTCATACTAAATATTTATACAATGTATTTTAATATCTGCTTCAAATGAGTTTGAATTTATGTCACTAAAGTGAAATCTCACAGATTCCAAAATACACACACACACACACACACACACACACACACACGTATTTTTTTTTTTTTTTGAGTTGGGAGTTTCGCTCTTGTTGCCCAGGCTGGAGTGCAATGGCATGATCTCGGCTCACTGCAACCTCTACCTCCCAGGTTCAACGGATTCTCCTGCCTCAGCCTCCTGAGTAGCAGGAATTACAGGCACACACCACTATGCCCAGCAAAGTTTTTTGTATTTTTAGTAGAGATGGGGTTTCACCATGTTGGCCAGGCTGATCTTGAACTCCTGACCTCAAATAATCCACCTGCTTCAGCCTCCGAACGTACTGGGATTACAGGCATGAGCCATTGGGCTCAGCCCCAAAATATATTTAACTTCTTGTCTTCCTGAATAAAAAAATTCTTCGCTTACTTTTCCTTGAATATCCACTTGGTTTGAGATTTCCTGGTCTTAAACTTCTTATTTATAGGACTTAGGGAGCCTGAACATTCTGTACTGAGGAAACAGAACAGAGGGCTGGATATTGCAGAAGTCCATCTTGCCTTCATAATGGTGCTCTTACGGTATAAGTGATGAATTCATCTAGGGGAGGAGTGAGGGAGTGAGCAGGGGAGATTATTATGGAATTTACTTCCAGTTATAGTGCCAATCCATGAAAAAGGAAAGGCCTTGGAGACTCAGCCAATTTTTAACTTTGGATGAAGTATCTTGCTTTTGAGAGCACCATTAGACAAGGGAAAGGGACTTCTGATGGCTTAAATAACCCATTAACTGTATCTCTCTAAGATGATACAGTTAGAGTAACAACAGCATAGGAATAACCGTAGTCATTTAGAATTGTGTACAGGTCAAATCCCGTTACAACCATTTCAGAAGAATATCTGACTTTCTTATTTGTCTTAAAGCTTGTACTGCAAAGTATTAATATGTACTCTGTCAGATTGTAGACCTTTTTTTTTAATTCTTAAATTTCTTTGAAGAAAAAAGCACAAGGACTTTTGAAGGGGCATTTCTAATTAACCCCACATCCAGCTTCCCTGTTACTGAGACCCTGGATGGGAATTTGCTATATTGCTGGTTGGCTGCATGGCACCAGGCAGCTGCTTCACAGTGCCAGAGTGTTCATTTATTCATGCAGCCTGAAAAGTGTGGTGGGCATCAGGATTTGCTTGGTGCTCTGGGAGAAGATTAACCATAAAGAAAAGATGCAGTCCCTATTCATTAGGAATTTACAGACCACTTGGAAGAGGCGACCACCAAGCAGAGTCTAAGGTAATGATGCAATCATAAGAGTATTTGGAATTAGGGGTGAAGTGAAGCTTTCCAGGGTTTGTCATGTCGTATGTCAAATTATCAGCAAAGATCTGAAAGTATTTTGTAGTATTTCTGTTTGTATAGCTTTCATTGTAACGGGATTTAACCTGTAACATTTTTTCATCAGAGAACTGCAGATTACACAAATGAAAATATCATAAATCCCCATTTGTACTTTCTGTACTTTGTACCAAATGTACTTAACTGTATGCTAAATATAATATTGAATATGTATCAGTGCAAATGTTAAGAGCCTTTTGCAACTAGATTCATGAACACGGATACTTATTATTTTGTTTACTTTTATGTTGAGTAAGATAGAACATGTAATGTTTATACAAAACACGCATTAAAACGTCTGGAATGTTATTTCAGTGTGTGATGGATGAGTGGTTGCTTTAAATCACTAGGTTTTTGATTGGTGCTAGAGTAGCTGGTGTTGCTTAACGTGGCGTTTTTTTTCCTGTCCACACTTTCCACCCTTGGTACAGGTATTTTTGATAAAGCTGTGGAATGGAAAGGTATGTTTTTCTTGGGATATTCAAGAATCTGTTACCTTAAATTTTTTTAAAGAGATTTTCTTTATGGGTTTCCTTTCGTGTCTGGCTTAAGCAGACTTAGTTTAATTGTAACAAGTAACATTTTTAGAGGTAGTATTTGTGTATAAAAGTTTGACATGACACAAGTTTCTGACTTTACTTTTCCCCATTCCCTTATTAAAGATAGTATGAAAGATTTTAAAGCATTTGGGGTGGGGGGTTGCTCTTAAAATATAGGATCTTTGCCATGAAGAAAGAATGTAGCCTAAGAGTTGTTTATGGTAGTTAATGATCTAGTATGTTGTTATTGCTAGAATCCTGGTTAGTAATAATTTGCAATTTCATTGAGGAAAGTGATATAAAAGTATTTCTTAATATATTAATATATGAAATAATTTTAGAGACTTTATTAAATTCATAGAGTCCTCTGTATGGTGGAGGAACAGTTCAGCTTGAGCCGGTGACTGGCTGAACTAGAAGGGTTAGTCCGGGAAAGTGGCAAGTCGGCAGGGCATGTCTGCACAGATTCTGTGCCAGGCTTCCTGCCTGCACAGCGCTTTTTTCTCTGTCCGAGTTCTGTGCTGACCAGGGCTGTCCACAGGCATGTTTACACTCCCTGTTCTTGCAGGTTGACTTGAAAGAACCACGTAGCTAAATTGGTGAGAGACTCAGCCTGACCGCTTGTCTTTAGAAGGCCTGATTGGAAGAGTGCACTCTATTGACTTTCCTCTAACAATGAAATTGTGAAAGGTACATGGGGCAGCTGTGAGACGTGCAGCTATCGGGTCTCACTGGCACATCCCTTTTCTCGTAAAGCAATGAAGCACTTTCTAAGGCGTTGGTACTAGTGCTGGAGGCTGCTGGTGCATTAGATGCTGCCCGTCACGTCGATGGGCTGAGAAACCCTCCTTAAAGATGTGTGATGTTTTGTAAACCCTGACGGTACTGGTGATTGCAAAGTTCGTGTCTGCTCAGTGTTCCCCATCTCACCAGAAGTGTTTCCTTTTTCTCATTCATAGAGGTCCTGTAATAAAGAGGGATCCAAACAAGCTCAGAAAGAAAATGAATTTCAAGTAAGTAATTCAGTCCCTCTGCATCTGTGTGAGATGTGAACTGGTGTTAGCCACCCTTTGCTATTCCAGGGCTTGGCAGTGTCTGTTACCTACCCTTGGAAAATCCTGATCTATCTTTCTACAAGGAGGGGCTTTTGGTATATCTCTCAGAAACCACCTCATGCGGGCTGAATGAACAGTGTGTATTCCTCATTCCTCCTGACAATGTAGACTGTGGAAGCTTGGTGTCTTTATGGCAATCGAAACAGCATTGGGATGCTGGGAGGTGGCAGCCAAGGGACCATTCATGTGTGGTACCTGATGTCGGGGCCCTGGCTGCGGCTGCTGCTGCTGCAGTGTCTTTCTCACCCCCTTTTGGCTGTTCTCACACTTCCCATCAGGAGGCAAGTCCCTGCCCAGTGGTTTTGGTGGCCACCCTTTTTCCCTGGGCAAGCAGCAGTGTTGTTTCTTATGTATGATACCCAAGTTGGAAAGGCTTCTTCCTAGACTTAGAGAATGTGTCCCCACTCTCTGAAACGCACATGTGCAGATGGCTTGAGGCCGAGAGCACTGACACATGGAGGCTCAGAAGCAGGGGTGTGGGGCACTGGTCTGCATGCTCCAGAAGAAGCACCTTTTAAGCATGTCTGCCATTATGTGCAGTCTGAGATAAACGACATAGATATACACACATATCACCACACCAATTTTACCAATTGTATATTGATTATTTAAATGATCAAGAAATAGGCCGGGCATGGTGGCTCATGCCTGTAATCCCAGCACTTGGAGAGGCCTAGGCGGGAGGATCACTTAAGGTTAGGAGTTTGAGACCAGCCTGGCCAACATGGTGAAACCTTGTCTCTACTAAAAATACAAAAATTAGCCAGGCATGATGGTGGGCACCTATAATTCCATCTACTTGGGAGGCTGAGGCAGGAGAATTGCTTGAATCTGGAGGCGGAGGTTGCAGTGAGCTGAGATCACGCCACTGCACTCCAGCCTGGGTGACAGAGCGAAACTCTTATCTCAAAAAAAAAAAAGAGAACTAGGCCGGGCGCGGTGGCTCACGCCTGTAATCCCAGTACTTTGGGAGGCCGAGGCGGGTGGATCACGAGGTCAAGAGATTGAGACCATCCTGGTCGACATGGTGAAACCCCGTCTCTACTAAAAATACAAAAAATCAGCTGGGCATGGTGGCGCATGCCTGTAATCCCAGCTACTCAGGAGGCTGAGGCAGGAGAATTGCCTGAACCCAGGAGGCGGAGGTTGCGGTGAGCCGAGATCGCGCCATTGCACTCCAGCCTGGGCAACAAGAGTGAAACTCCGTCTCAAAAAAAAAAAAAAAAAAGAGAACTAGACATTAAAACAGTTGAGATAAGAAAGGAATGAAAGTGCCGATATTTTTTCCACACATTTCAGCGGCTTGTTTTGCATGTGTCCTGCTCTGGGGGCCCTGCTAGAGGATCTAGAATTTGTGCTCTCTGGAGTGATAGTGATTGGAAAGTCCTTGAGTGGCAAGTGATTGACCTTCTGTTGTCAACCATTCCAAGCCCTTTGTGCATAGACCTTTGGACATCCTGGTAACTGGAAATATTGGATCACTAGGACCTCTGTGATGCTAAATCCAAAGACTTTTCAGTTCACATTTTATTTTGACTTCTCAGTAGCATTTTACATGACTCCCTCCCTTTTGAAATGTTTCCTCCCTGAGGCAGCCATGACATAGAGACACAAAGTACAGCTCTGGCTGTCTGCATGCTCGGTTGCCCCATGATGTGACTGTAGGCCCTCTTCTCGTGTTGTCCTCTCTCCCTCATTCACCTGATATATAGGCCAAAGCATCACTACATTTTTCCTCCAGCCCTGACCCCAACTTAGAACTAACGGCATCGGGTAGCAGTCTCTCCTCGGATGTCTCATACGCCCCTCCAACTCGCCATGTCCCACACCGCACACATAGTCTCTTCACTTCCTGCAACAGCACAATCAAAATCCAGTCCTTTCTGGCGATCTTCCTTTTTCGGTCACTCTGCCAATTAGTTCCCAGGCCAGAAAGCAGGACATTATCCCCAAGATCTTGCTCTCACTCTCCCCAGCATCCCAACCATGAGTTTAGTTGATGTTGCCTTTGAACCACACCTTAGATCTGCCTACTTCTCCTCTTGTATCCCAGAAACCATTCCCTTTATTGTTGCCAGAGTCATCTTTTTGAATTGCTGACTTGCTCATGTTCACCCCTTGTTTAAGATTCCTCCATGCTCACTTTGCACCTCCGGCCAGGTTAAGGGGGCCTTTGTCTACCAGGTCCTCGTGGTCTGACCCCTGCTGACATTTCCAGCCTCAGCTCACAACCTACTGCCCCTAACCCTTATTCCCTTCAGCCAGGTTGTCTTAAACCCTGTGGTTTTTTGCCCCTGACCCTGGCCCTTTGCAGATGCCTTTCCTGCTGGCTGGCTCCAGGCCTTCACCTGTTTCCCACCCGCTAGCTCTAGCTGGGGCTTCTTCCACAGGACCCCTCCTGGCTTTCTAGACAAGATTGGGGCTTTCATTTCACAGCACCATGCGCTTCTTTGCACTTTCATTTTCTTTTCTTTTTTTTTTTTTGAGACAGGGTTTTACTTTGTCACTCAGGCTGGAGTGCAGTGGCACAACCTCGGCTCACTGAAGCCTTTACGTCCTAGGCTCAAACGATCCTCCCGCCTAACTTCCCAAATACCTGGAACTACAGGTGTATGCCCCCATGCTTGGCTAATTTTTTCTGTTTCTCCTAGAGATGAGTTTTGCCATGTTTCCCAGGCTGGTCTTGAACTTCTGAGCTCAAGCAATCTACCTGCCTCCCTCAGCCTCCCAAAGTGCTGGGATTACAGGTGTGAGCCACTGCACCCAGCCCTTTGCACTCACTTTCTTTTTCTTTTTTTTTTTTTTTGAGATGCACTCTTGCTCTGTCTCCATGCTGGAGCGCGCCATGTTGCAATCTTGGCTCACTGCAACCTCTGCCTCCTGGGTTCAAGCGATTCTCCTGCCTCAGCCTCCCGAGCAGCTGGGGCTACAGGCACATGCCACCATGCCTGGCTAAGTTTTGCATTTTTAGTAGAGATAGAGTTTCTGCCATTTTAGGATGGTCTCAATCTCTTGACCTCGTGATCTGCCTGTCTCAGCCTTCCAAGGTGCTGGGAATACAGGCGTGAGCCACCACACCTGGCCCACTTTCTTTCTTTCTTTTTTTTTTTTTTTTTTTTTGAGACAGAGTTTCACTCTGTTGCCCAGGCTGGAATGCAATGGCGTGCTCCCAGCTCACCACAACTTCTGCCTCCTTGGTTCAAGCAATTCTCCTGCCTCAGCCTCCCAAGTAGCTGAGATTGCAGGTGCGCACCACCATGCTCAGCTAACTGTTGTATTTTTAAGAAGAGATGGGGTTTCACCATGTTGGTTTCCTCATTCACTTCCCAAGTACCTCAGGGCCACTAGTAGGGTTGGTGTCTTCTTGCTCCTTCCTCATTCCTGCTTGCCATGTCTCTTGTGTTGAAAACCCAGTTTTTTGAGGCTCACACCAGTGGCTGTAGCCCTCCTGATGGCTGTCATCCCTTGGCGAAGGTTCCATTCCATGGCTTAGCCTCTGAGCCTGTTTTGGTTACTGCTGTCATTCTCTGGGCTCTGTATCTTTCTCATCCACTAACAACCTTTTCCTTCAATTCCTCTTCCATCATCCACTCATGGATGTGCCCCAGACTTTAGTGCCAGAAATTGTACCTCTCTGACTTGCCAGTTTCAACAACTCGTCTGCTGACCTCCTAGTTCACTTTGGCAACATGGCTCCATGGCCATGGCTCCGTGACTGCCACCAAGACCTCTGATCCAGACAGTACCAACTCCTGGCTTTCCTTCAGCCCTCCATCCCACATTCACCTTGCCCAACTGAAGAACCACGCTCTGCCATCATGAGCCTTGCCTTCCACACATTCTCAGCTTCCTGTCTCCACTGGCCTTCTGCTGGACTAAAACCCCACCCTTGCCAAACCCGGCCAACCACTTGCCTTCTTTGTGCTGCAGCCAAGCAGCTGAACATTGTTAGAGGAAAAGTCCATCATTGGCAGGGCTTCATCTTAAGTTGTGGGGCCAAGTCTCTGGTGGGCACACACCACTGCTGGGGAGCCTGCTGAGTTTCTCTAGGCTTGACGTCCTGAGTCAAGAGGTCTGTTTCAGGCCTTCTTTTGTCTTCAAACCTCTCTGTTCCTGCACTGAGCAGGCAGTATCACCTCACTCCCCAGCCGCTGCTTCTCTCCTCTGTCTGCCCTGTAAACCCTCTGCATCCGTACCCGTGTCTTCCACTGACCGTGAAGGGCTGCCCTGGCTGCACATTGAGCTCACCACTTGTCTTTTGGGTCTGACTTTTTGACTTGTCCCTTCATCCCTTGTGCCTTCCTCTCCTCTTTTTCGTTGGCTGTTTCTTCTCAGCTGCTCTGCCATCCAGGTGAACCCCAGTTACCCCACAAATCGTGAGAAATAATAAACTGGTCACTTGCCTCGTGATCTCCTTGGCCCCACCCCGTCCCTGCTTCCTTTCCCACAAGATTTCTGGCAGCGGTATCTCCTGCCTCTGCTTTCTCATTTCCCCATCTCCTTTTTTGGAAGACAAGTTTGAAAGCATGGGAAAGTATAAAGAGCAATATAGTAAACACCTTTATTCTCACTGTGCAGAATTAGTCACTTATTTTGTCATATTGCTTGATTTCAGTCATTTTATATGAATTTATTTTTAACTTTTATTTCATACCAATTTTAGACTTACAAAAAAAAATTGCAAGAATAGTACAGAGACTTCCCATGCACCCCTCACCCACCTTTCATAATGTGAAATCTCACGTAACCACAGTGCAGTGGTCAAAACCAGGACATTTACATTGGTGCAATGATAATAATAACTAAACACCTATAATCCCAGCACTTTGGGAGGCCGAGGTGGGCAGAGCACTTGAGGTCAGGAGTTTGAGACCAGCCTGACTAATAGGGTGAAACCC